TGGGAACGAATTATATTTTTCCTTTTTGAAAGGAATATGAGGCTGATTATTAAGTAGAGATGCTGTGCATTTTAATTAGTGATCTCTCTTTGATGATAGCGGAAAAAGAGTAAAGGATTATTAATTGAGATGCGAAAATTTTCTTTGACAGTAATAATAGTAATTGTAACGATTATAATATATGAATAATAATCGCAATATAATAATAATAAAAATAGTAATAAAGAAAATAATGGTATAGTAATAAGAAAATAATGATTATAAAAATAAGAAAATTATAATAAATAAATATTAATAAGTAAATAATAATAAATAAATAATAATAAATAAATAATAATAAATAAATAAATAGTAATAAAAAAAGAATTCCAAATAATAAAAAATGTCAAATTACTTATTCGAAAAATAATAAAAAAATAAAATTAATTAATTGTAAGGATTTAGAATGCAAAAAAATATATTATTATTATTATTATTATTAAAAACATAAATTTATATTTAGGGAAAAGTGGAGTAAAGCGACATCGTAGTTTAATCAATTTACTAGTCTTTTTTGTAATAGTGTATTTATGCTGATTAAGAGTTAAAATGTTTAATAATAAATTTTTCTTTTTGTGAAGATATTTCAATTTTTCGAATTGATGTCAGGCAGGTATTACAAATTTATTATAAGATCATTGCACGTGAGTATGAGGATAAATGACCGTCAATTAAAGTTCAATGAAAGTAAACAAAATATAGATTCAGCACGCACATTGTCATGTCGAGGACGATTTCAGTAATTCTTTGCAATACTTTGTTTCACCAAAGGGGAATTTTGTTTTTAATTCACACTATTTTTATTTATTTTAATAATTTTTTTTTTTCAATATTTGACAGTGGCAGTTTTTTCTTATCTGTTCTTAATAAATCGTTTCAAAAAATGCAAAGATTATAAGCCACGATTATAATCAATAGAAGTGGAAAAATATTATTACTTGTTGAATTAAATTTTATTTTTTTTATAACTATTGTTTATAAAAAAAAAAAAAATTGTTTTGATATAATGTCATAAAAAATGAAATATACAGTCGACTCTCGATGAATTAAATCTCAAAGAACATTTTAATTATCGAGGGTTTTGTTTATCAAATGTTTAAAGTATCAAATTTTTTCCAGGGATCAAAAATAAAAATAAATTCAATATATCAAGATTTAATTGTATTAACATTATCGTTATTATTATAACGAATAATTATTAAATAATAATAATAATAATAATAATAATAATAATAATAATGAATAATATTAATTATAATAATATTAATGTAAATGCATAAATAGTATGAAGGCATTTCTTTCATTTTTTTGCAGTGATAAATAAAAAAGGCAAAATAAAAGGTTAAGGACATCACATATTTGAAAAATTGTTGTTTATTTATTTTTTTTTTTGCTTCAGATTAATGTTAATTTATGTTTACGATCAACTTATGTGACGTAATTAAATTAATTTTATCTATTATTGTAATTAATAAAAGAATTTAAGGAGGACAAGAGTATCGTGTCAATTATCGATTTATGGTTTTTTTCATAATGATTATTGATAGTTAAAAAAAAAATGCAAATTTTTTATAAAATTCATGTCAGTGCATAGTTATTGCTTATTTATAATAAATTTACCATCTAGAGTTTTTCAAAGAAAAAGAAAAGAAACACTATGCTTTAAAAAATTCAAAGATGATTCAAGAGTTGAATAACATATGAGTAGACTATTATTTAATACATAAAACTTTGTAAAGTGTAATTAATTAAATATTGTCGAGGCGTCTTTTAAATAAATAAATAAATAAATAAATACATAATAAATATAAATAAACTTTAAAATACATAATTGAATTTAGTAATGAATTCAATATTAGTTTAGTAAATATTTAGATATTAATTTAGTAATTAATTGAATACTAATTTAGTAATTAATTCAGTATTAATTTAATGATTGATAAATATTAATTTAGTGATTGATTAAATATTAATTTAGTGATTAATTTAATATTAATTTAGTGATTAATTTAATATTAATTTAGTGCTTAATTCAATATAATAATATTGCTCAGTAATTAAATAAATAGTAATTTAACAAATTGAAATATAAATATGTGTGAAACAAATTGGTGCATTACTACATTATTATTGAGTATTTTTTTTAAATGAAGCAATATTTTAAATTTTTGAATATCATTTTAAGTCAATAATTATTTTCTTCATAGTTTTGAGTTTCCAATCGTGTTAATTGAGCCATGAGAATTACTTTAATATTTCCATATTCAAATTATTTAATAAAAATATAATATTATGCAATTTTTTTCTATTCACATATTGAATATTAATGAAGAAAATGTTACGAAATTAGTAACAATTTTATTACATATTTTTGATTGGTTTAATCATTTTCCAATTCAAAATAGTTTTTGTTAACTATTCACATAATATTTATGTACTTATTGTTTATTTATAAATAATTATATTAATAATTTTTATTATTATTATTTTATTATTATCATTATATTTATTATTATTATTATTATTATTATTATTATTATTATTATTATTATTATTATTATTATTATTATTATTTTATTGTTTGTATTATTATCATTATTATTTTTTTTATTACTGTGAAACTATATTATTGCAGTAAACTGCACATTTATGGTTTCATTTGGAATATAAGTTAGTTCCTCATAAAGGAAGATAAATACTTTTTTATTTTTCTTTAATAAACAAACAAGTCAGTGGAAATCCAAAAATTGGTAAATTAGACCATTAGGATAATTTGCAAGACTTATATTGCAAAAGCAAAAACACGTCGCGACTCTCGTCTCAAACGACATTCCTGACAACGAAGCTTCATTTCGAGATCAAGTTTCCTCAATTCTCGTCCAAGTTTCGCTTTTCTCTTCACGATTCTTTTTACAAAAGAAGAACAATAAATATATGAATTTATCATTTTTCCGTTTCTTCAATTCACAAAGCTATGAGAAAATAGAAAAAAATTGCAAAAAAACGATAGAAAAAGAAATTGGTTTTTAAAAAAAGATAAATCAATTTTCTCTATTGCTTAATTTGTGATAAAATTCCTTCTTGTTTTTCAAATTTTTTGGATTAAGGTTTCTACAAAAAAAAAGAAAAAAAACATATTTTTGTGTCAAATTTTAAGGCATTGTAATTTTTGTCACTTAACCGCTTAAATCACATTTGAGAAACGTTTATAAAGCAACAACTTTAGTTACTAAATACCACGAGAGTTGAAAACTTTCTCGTCCACTCAATGGTTATTTTTTTTTTCCTCTTCTTTTTTTTCCGAAAGATCATGACTCAAAAAATATTGTTTTATATAACTTTGTAAAACAAGTTACGGATTTTATCACCGTTTAAATACATTTTTAGAAGAAGAAAAAATGAAGAAAATATCTCTAATTGAATAAATATAGACGTAAATCATTTAAAGAGAAAATAAACAAATCTTTGAGGAAACTGCGTTTTTTGTATGCGTTTCCTTATTAATAAATATATAAGTTTAATTAAATCCGCGAATAATTCAACTTTGGATTTATAATATTCGATAATATATTTTATATTACGATAAAATTTAAAATTAAAATTAAAAATAAAATTAAAATTTCAGTTGTTGAATTTTAATTATATTTAAATGCAACTGTAAATGAATTTAATTAATTAATTAATTAAAAAAATTATTAATTTATTAACGTCAATATTAAATAATATTTTTTAATGTCAATATACATTAATTATTAATATATTCTATAATCAAATTGATTAACTAGATTAACTAGAATTAAAATATTAAATAATAATTTTAAACTTCTATTGTTGAATTAAAATTTTTTTTGAATTCAATTGTAATTGAAGTTAAATAACAAATTGATTCACTAAATAATACGAATATTATTTTATTTCTTACTTTATTATTAAAATTATTTTGATAAATAATTATTAACGTTCAATTATAATATTAATTAATAATAATATGAATTATAATAGTAAATATAAATATGCTTTTCTTTAAATAAAAAATGAAATAAAGTAAAAAATGTTAATTTGTAATATTAGATTAATACTAGTGAATATTAATATTAAATTAATATTTATTAATATTATTATTAAAATTATTATTCAAGAATAACTGAATCAGACGAACAATATTTATGAAGGTTAGTTAATTATTAATTAATATTTAAAAAATTAAAATATACTGCTGTAGTATTCTTTTTATATGTCGATGTAAAAAGAATTTATTTATTAGAATAAATATTTCACTTTTTTTATTTCAATTCACGAATTTTAATTTATTTTAATTAGATTAGAAAAGTAAATAGATATTTTGAAATTAAAACTGTCATTCTGTCAACTTTTCTCATTTTATTTTCCTATTATATAATTTCGATTTCTATATGCACAATTTTTTTTCTTAAAAGCCGATTGTTTCTTATTTAGTTTCACCTATTTGCTTCTATTATCAATTGAAATTCAATTGCGTAATATTTGAAGAAAACACGTTTCCCGCCTTTCGGTAACAGAGGAAAATTTTTAACTTTGAAAAAAGAAAAAAAACTTTTAAAAATTATAAAAGTTTATAGGTTAAAAAGTTAAAATTAATTAAAACCTTTTTTTTTGTAATTTGAAAACAAATTAAATTTAAACACAAACAGTCGCAGGAATAATAAAAGAAAAAAAATCAAGCACAAAATTTCACTCTTATTTTGGTTTTTTTTTTTACGGAACCGGAAGAATGTAACACAAATAGAACGATGCTCCTTTTAGGTGGTTCTTTATAAGAAAAATAATCCATCATTTTTTTAATTGGTAGCACTGGGGGGAAGGGGGGTGAAAAAAGAGGGGGGGGGGGTTGAGGGGATTTGAAATTTTTCGCTGGCGCCACCGGAAGTTTATATCCATTATTTATTATTTTTTTTTGTATGAATGGTTTTTTCTCAACTCACCACAACACAAAAATCCGTCACTTGGAACTTTAAAATTCGAACTTAAAAAAAAAATAAAAATTTTTTTTTTTTTTTTAAGGGAGCCTCGCGCAGCTCCTGCTCCTCGGCTTTCTGTGACTGTCTGTGTGGCTGCGCTTAGTGAGCGGCTTTTATTAGCAGGTGGGGCCTCTCGCCACCTCCATTGGTACACTTAAATCTGTCTCTCGATCCTCTGCAGCGAAAGAAGGGAGTTCTCTTCATTCGCGCCCGATGTCTTCATGATAGCATCGGGGATTATAATCACAACACGTGCCCATTGAGGGCTAAGGTCAAGACCTCATCATTCATTTATATCCTCCCGCGTCTTTTTGATTTTTGGTTTATTTACTGCAAAAAAAGAGAAACAAAATTCTAGGGACTTTGAAAATATTTTATGAGAAATTTCATGATTTTTATTGTTTGCTAAATATAATTTTGTTTGTCTATTTATTTAATTATATAAGTTGAGAGGTTTGTAATATAAAAAAATTAGATTAATAAAATTAATAATTAATTAATTAAATGTGAATGTGAATTAATAATTGAATGAATGAAAAAATTCTAAAAATTATGTTTTTAAAAAATATTTTAATAGAACTTGAATTAGTTAATTAGATGTTAATTAAATAATTAATTAATTAATTAGATGGTAATTTAAGAGTTCAATTATTTTCAAATTCAATTCCTCGAAAAGTGTAATTATTTAAAATTTTTTTATTAATTACAAAAATTCAATTATTTACAAATCTTTTATAAATTTCTTCGTAATAATTCAATTATTTTCAAAAATTTTTTTAAATTCCAATTATTTTCAAAAGTAATAAAATTTTTCTCAGAAATTCAATTATTTTCAAAAATTTTAATAAAATTCTTGATATAATTCCAATTATCTTTATACGAAGAATAAAATTCTTATCAAAACTTAAATTATTTCCAAGTATTTTAAGAACTTCTTAGCAAAATTTTCAAGTATTTAAAAAAAAATTCATATCAGAATTTCAATTATTTTCGAAAATTTTCCTTACTTTAATGATTTTCAATATCTATCATTTTAATATAATTTTCAAAAAAAATTGAATTATTTTAAAAAAATTTTTGATAAATTTCTACTTAAAAATTTCATTATTTTTATAAATTATAAAATTCATTTTAGGAATTCAATTATTTTCATAAATAATAAAACTAATTTTAATCGAATTTCCTGAAAAATGTAATTATTCTCAAAAATGTTATTTAAATTTGTCAAAAGAATTCAATTACCTATTTAAAAATTTATTGATAAAATTCTTTATGATTATTCAATTTTCAGAAACATGCAATTATCCAATAAATTATATTTTTGCATTTAAATATTTGAATTCTAGTAGAATTTTTTAGTTAAAATTTTAGATAATAATTGAATATTAAAAGCAATGTAGCGTGAAATTTTTGGAAATAATTGAATTTTATAATTAATTTTTTTGAAAAAGTTGAATTGAATTTTTTTAATATTATTTTAAAAGTTTTTATTTTTTAATATTTATTTAATATTGAAGAATTTATGAATAATTGAAATTTCGTAAAATTGAATATTATAAACAAATGGATTTGAAAATTGTCAAAGAACTTTTTCGAAAATTATTAAAAATAATCGATTTAAAGAAGAAATTTAGTTAAAAATTCTTGAAAATAATTAATAATAATAAATAATTAATAATTATTTTATCACTTGGTCATCTTTAATTATTATAAAACATTGTTGTTGTTGGTCATTAATATATTTATTTATTTAATTATATAAATTACGAGGAATAAGAATACAACAAATTTACAAAAAAGTTTTATAATTTTTAAATATTTTTATTGTTTGTCTTTATTTATTTCTATTTATTTATTGTAATTTCTTTTATTGCTTATAAGTTTATATTATTGTTAAAGATTAGGTTTCAAATAATTGATGTTTTGAACATTTGAGGAGTTTAATTGTCGTTTGAAAAAAAAATAAGTAACAAAATTAAAGCAATGTCTGACGTAAATCAACTTTTTCTACTTAAACTGAGAATAGTATTTACTTGTTTCACTTTGAAGCGAGAATTATTTATAATTTCTATTCACTTTTTTAATAATTGATAATAAAAAGTTTTAGGAAATAATAAAATAATATTCAAATGTTATTAAATTAATAAAATATTTATTATTTTTATTTATTATTATATTACATATATTATATTTATTTATTATTTTTTTAATATAACTAATAAAGTAATAATTAAATATTAGAAAATTTATATAATAAATTATTAAATTAATATTTATCATTTAAACATTAATTACACAGTTTTTCTAAAAATATCAAAATTGAGACCAAAAAAGTATCAAAATTGTTGCGAAGCATTGATACGTTTTTTTGTCTCAATTTTGATTTCGTTAGAAACCTTTGTAAATATCTAAGCATTAATTTAATATTCAAACATCAATGTAACATTAATATCATTCTAATCAATAAATTGTTAATATTAACAATAGAAAAAACAATTTTTTTAACAAATACTGAAATAAGTGTGTAAATATTTACTTAAAAAATAGAAAAACCGCGAAAATTGTGTTGTAAGCGTATAGGAGAATAAAAGTGTTGATAAAATTAGTAAATAACTATTGGACGGCTGATTAATTTTTGGGAGAAAATTTTGTCATGTTTAATCAAGCGCATTATAAAGAAATGTATAGATTGAGAGAGAAAAGTATCTCTTAACATTGTTTAATTGAATAATTTGTTCCTGTATCAATAATAATAATAATATACCAAAAAAAATGATGTAATCAATTCTCGATATCGTAAGTCCGTTAAAAATTGTGTCTCAAAAAATTGCCAACAACTCTCTTATTCATCATTTGTTTCGTGTTCTATTCTCTTTTGATTGCGTCTTTTTTTTCTTATTAGAAAATATTTTGTAAGAGTCACAATTTATAAAGTAGCATAAAAATTACCGTGAAAGAGATATTTTTATAATTATACTACACCTGATACTTGAATTTAAATTTCGCGTAGTTTTTTTGTTTGGGAAAATTAATTTATATCCAAATATTTCAAATTGAAAGAATAATTTAAATATTTTTCAAGAATTTAAATTTTGTTTAATTACTTATTAGGTATTTATTTATTATTTCATTTATTTTTTTATTTGTTGTTTATTTACTATTTAATTTGTTTTTTATTGTTTATTTACTATTTTATTTATTATTTATTTATTATTTTATTTCTTACTTTATTATTTATTTATTATATTTATTTCTTATTTTATTATTTATTTATTATACTTATTTTTTTAATTCATTTTATTTTATTATTTTTATTTTTATTGTTATTTTATTTTTGTTACGTAATAAATTGATAAAAACGTGATTTTTGAAATTTTTAGTAAAAATGAAGGGAAAAAAGTCTTTTGTCTTGAATAGGAGGAGAAAATGATCTTTCAAGTTTGTCAAAGTTTGATATTGTATTACTTATACTGTTATTATCTTAACGTCAAGAGGAAGTTCACAAGTACTTCCTCTTAATAGTATTATTGATAATAATAGTAATTATAATGATAGGTTTCTTTTGTAATTTAGAGATCGTCTATTTTATGGCATACTGTCACTTTAATATGTGAAAAAACTGTCATTTCGCTATGTCAGTTTAGATAAGAATTTGAAGTTCCATTAGAAAAAAAATACCATTGTTTGAAAATATCAATAATTGCAGATATAATTTTTTCAATTTACGATTTTTTGAAGCTAATGTCAATTGAATCGACCTTATATTTTAATCTTAATTAAATTCAGTATTTTTAAAGTCTTATTTCTATCATTAATTAATTAATTTTTTAGTTAAATGATTAAATAATTTGCTATTCAAATGATTAATTATTTTTTTTAATCAATTTATTAATCAATTTTTTAATTAATTGATTACTTACCTTGTTTTAGTTAAATAATTAATTAATTTTTTAACCAATTGAATATTAAATTTTTTAATCAAATGATTAATTAATTTTCAAATTAATTGATTAATTAAATTGCTATTCAATGTATTAATCAATTTTTTAATTAATTGATTAATTATTTTTTTTAGTTAAATAGTTAATTAATTTTTTAATCAATTGAATATTAAATTTTTTAATCAAATGATTAATTTAATTTAAAAAAAAAACATTTGAAGTTTAATTTTGTATAAAATATTTCTATGAAATTACTAATAAATATTTTAAATAAATATTTTTACTTTTATGTATTAAAATTTTTTACTCCAATAATATTTGAAATTAATTTTTTTTTTCAATAAATATTGTTACTAAATTTTCTAATAATATTTTCAATAAAAGTACATTTCTTCTTCATTTTTTCTCTTGAAGAAATTTTTGGCTAGAGTGTATATTGGATATAAATTTTCTAATTTAAAATAGAAACGCAACAATTACACTTATAGAATGATTAATACCGGCTTATAGATTGCTTTAATTACATTAAAAAAGAAGAGAAAAAAAAATTAACAAAGAAAGTCGGAATGTTTGCTTCGATATCTTTTATAATTTAATTTCCTTTTTATGTAAGAGAGAACTCATTATGCACATACATATATATATATATATATATATATATATATATATATGTAACTGACTTCAAAATGTAACTTGAAATATTTTACTTCTCGTTCCGGTGTTGATCTCAATATTATATCTGCGCGTGGAAAAAATGCAGATGACCACGAAACAAATGAAATTAATACACTTTACTGTATAACTTATATAATATTATATCGACCAGAGTTCTGTGACTCTAAATATGAAAATTTTACATAATTTTCGAAAAAATTGTATTTTTTTATATTATATTGACAGTAGGAGATAAAATTTCATATATTTGCATAATAGTAAAAAGATGAAAAATTTTCTTTTCCTGAATCGAATAAACGTAAATCGAATATGCACCGTGTGATGAAAAGTATGTTTTCAATTTGTCGTTATTTTTGAATTTTTATTTTTGAAAATGATTAAATAATTATTGAAAATATTTTTAATGATATATAAAAATTTAATTAAAATTAAAAAAAATAAATTAAAATTAATTAAAACTTGGAAGGATTTTGGAAATGAAATTTTTCTTATTTTTGCTAA